CGCCTCCCGCCGCCGCTGCTGCTGCTGCTGCCGCTGCTGCTGCCGCTCCCGGCCGCGCCGGCCGCCCAGGTGAGCGGGGAGCGGCACCCGGAGGGGCTGGGGGGGGACACCGGGCTCCTCTCCGCTTCTCTCTCGCTGCCCGTGCGCCCCCGCAGCGCTGCCCCGGCAGACAGGTGGGCAAAGCCGCGCTTAAACTGCGCCCGAGCCGCGCTTAAAGCGCGAGCGGCCGCTTTCGGGATCTTTTCGCCCTTCTCAGCCCGCACCTGAAGCCGCCCCCGAGCGCACCGGGAGCAAAGAACCCCCGTTTGGGGCTTTTTCTTTGGCGGGGGGAGGATTTTCCAGCTTTGCGATGGCTCAGCATCCCGCCGGAGCTCGCGCTGGCTCCCGGAGTTAAACCCAGCCCTAACAAAGAGCTGTTTATTAAAGCCAGCGACGCGCCAGCATCTATTTGCTTTTGCCTCCCTTCCTCTGCGCTCGGGGTATCCCAGAGCTGCCAGCACACCCCCGGCAGCCCGGGAGCCCCGAAACCGCTCCCGGGGAAGCAGAGGACACCGAGCGCGGTGCTTGGGCTCCCCGTTTGTCCTCCCTCAACCCTCAGCAGCTCTTTGGAAACGGGAATCATTCCACAGCGCGGTTATGGAAAGGGGGGGAGGAAATCCTTTCCAGCAGGTGGGACAGAGCCCACCAGCTCCGGTTCGCTTTCCCGGAATTCCATAGCCCCCAGCGCAGTCCCTGCGCGCTCCCTCCTCACTGCGCCCCCCGGATTTCTGAGCTCTGGGAATGGCTTTGCTCTTTTTCCTCGGTTTCGAGTCAATTCCACAGGAATCCCATAATAACGGTGCCCGTCTCCGGCATGAGTCAGTCCCGTGGGAGCGATCGCTTTGCAGGCAGGAGTCCCAGCAGCGTTCCTGGCCCCGGCAGAGCTCACAAGACAGCTGTTTTCCTCTTCTTTTGTCGTGTGGAAACGGGACAGGGCTGGAGCTCCAGCAGGATGAAACATGAGTTATAGCATCTCTCCCACAAAGCGATCCCAGCCCTGCCTGGAGCGCGGGCCTAGGTGGAAAAAACTCCCGGATCTGGGTAAATGCGGAGGGAAAGACAAAGTCAGGGCGCTCAGGGAACACCGGACGCCGCGGAGCTCCCGCACCAGCCTCCTCCCGGGGCCGGCCGGGGGGCTCCCGGGGGGAGCGGCAGCACAGGGGGGTCCCCATGGCTGTCCCCATCCCTGTCCCCGCAGAGCTGCCTCAGCAGGCAGCAGCTCCTGGCTGCCATCCGGCAGATGCAGCAGCTGCTCAAGGGGCAGGAGACGCGCTTCTCCGAGGGGCTGCGAGCCGTCAGGAGCCGTCTCAGCAGCATCCACGCCTCCCTGGCCAAGGAGCCGCCCGCCCGTGAGTCCTTGGCACAGCATTCCAGGGAAACAGCGGCTGAAGGGTGGCTTGGAAGGAAAGGGCCCCCTCCAAACTCATCCCCTTTCCGTGGGTCCCGCAGCCTCCTGTCCTGCCCTCCAAGCCCCTGCGGATGGGAGGAAGTTCGGCAGCAAATATTTGGTGGATCACGAGGTTCACTTCGCCTGTGCTCCAGGGTTCCGGCTCCTGGGCTCCAGCACACGGACGTGCCAGGCCAACGGCAGCTGGACGGGGCAGGAGCCGCGCTGTGCAGGTACCGCTCACTGCCGGCCCTGGAATGGCCTTTGGAAAAGCCGATCGATTCCAACACTGGGCTGCTCACAGTGGGGAGGGATCGCGGCTGCCCCCCAAAGTTCCAGGGATGCTGCAGCTCCCTTGGCTTTGGGATTTCTCAGCCTTAAGGAAAACTGGGAATTACAGCTGGAGCAGCTGCGGAGATGAGGGCGAGCGGGGTCGCGGCTGCGACGTGCCGCAGGGTACCGAGGCTGTGCCGGTGTGCGCAGCATTCCCGGCTTCCCGAGACGGAACACGGATCTCTGCTTCTCCCGCAGAGATCAGCGAGTGCTCGAGCAGCCCCTGCCAGAACGGCGGGACGTGCCAGGAGGGGCTCGGCCACTTCGAATGCCTCTGTCCCCCGCAGTGGGCCGGGACCAGCTGCCAGTACCGGGCTCAGACCGGTGGGTCACCCTTGCCGGGGGATAAATGGGATATTCCATCCCGCGGCCCATCCCGGCTCCCCATCCCGGCGTTTTCCCGCAGCTCCTCCCGGCTGGAGCGTGTCGGATGACCCGGCCTTCAGCCGGCAGCCCCGCTGTGCCCAGCTCGCCCAGAGCCAGCAGTGCAGCTGCGATCCCGGCTTCCAGATGAGCGGCACGGCTTCCAACGGCATCTGCCAGGGTGAGCCGGGATGCGGGAGGGATGCGGGGATGCCGGGAGTCCCGGAGGAGCCCCCGGCCGGGCC